CCGCTGATAAAATAATCCATTTATGTAGCATAATCCATCAAATTGCCATCTACAATGAGGCATGAAACATAGTTTTGGTTTTCTTACTTTAAAAGTACAAGCAGATAGTCTAGCACTATTTAGTTTTGCTGAATTCCATGTTTTGAGGTTATCTTCTTGAAAATAATGAATTCTTACATTGAGAAAACTATCATTGCTTCAGATATGCTACCCCAGAAAGGACACAACCAACATGGAAAACACATATTTTACTAAAATGATATCTGCTGAACACACCCAATCTCTTTAAAGAGATTTGTGACAAAGGCAAAGCTTATAAACATTTTTATAGAGACATTGAGAACTTATGTATTACCCTTTGTGTCTTCACATTCCTTCTAGGAATGAGCATTCCTCTGAGGAAAATGGTGCTCTGGATGTCTAAGGGAGTCTGTATGTGTTGTATAAAATGGTAAAAATTAAGGTTGGCTAGGCAGTCATATACTCAGACTACACAATCTAATTCTTCTCTAACATTCACAGAGACTCCTAAGCCTGAGGTTCTTGCTGAGGGAAACATAAGGAATCGGCTTTTTTACCTATCTGTGTCACCACGATATTTTCTGAAAAATCCCTTCGCCAAGATTTCTTATCCTGAGAAGCCTCAGAAAAGAAATGTAAACAATAATTATCTGTTTGCTTGGAATGTGGTCTGGAGGTTGCTCACCAACATGTGCATCTTGGATTGGTTCCGTGTGAATTGTTTTTTATTAATCATCAATCCCAGTCCAGCTGTGTCAGGCTCTCTGAATTTGTCATGGGTTTTTATTATTCATTCTTGTCTAGCCTTCTGATGTCTCATTTATCTTTCTTTAGTATAGTTTTAGTATAGCATTTCTTTTAATATAATATAACATCATAATATAATATATCAGCCTTCTGAGAACTTGGAATTAAATTCTCATCTCTCACCTCGTCCACAACAACACCACAACAATCTGCACTCCATAACAGATCAGCTGAAATGTTTGAACCCTTTTCCTTCAGTCATTTCAAAGCCTGCTGCTCATACTGGCCTTGTCTGGCCAGCTGTGCTTGGGGAACACACTTCTTGCTGCTGGCAACACCTCAAAGGTGGAAAACCTTCTCCTACCCTGCTTCCCCACTGATGTCATCCCTGAGCCACAGGCTTTGGAGCTGGCCATGTATTCTGCAGGTGGGATGCTGCTAAAGGACAACAGAATGCTTTGGAGAGGTGCAAGATTTGGAAATAAAAGCCAGTCCACTTCTCTGCTTTGTCTCTTGCAGTAACTTCTTGGTGACCCCACTGCAAGGAAGAAGCTGCCATCAGTGCTTTGAGGTATGTTCTGTACTGCACAAGCACAGGCTTATTCACTCCCTTTCTAATTTTTACAACATTAATAGATCTCTTAGAGGTTTTTCACACTTAAATCTCTTACTTTGTCAAACTAATTAGCGGCGTTTTAATAGTTTTCGCATCTCTGAGCATCCACGTTCTCACAGGTTGCTTAACAGAGTAAAAGGAAAAAAGAGCCATTCCATAAAAGAATGGCTCCTTCCCTGACAAGCTTGAAGTTCAAGGAAGCAGCAGCTTTACAAACTGTGCTATAAGAACTTGTAAATGACACATACTGAATTGGTAACCCTTACATTGCACCCACATCATTTCTACGTCAGCTCTCTCTTTGATAAACTGATCAACAATTCCTTTTTAATAAACTGTCTTCTTGAGAACATCTCTTACCTTGATCAAATAATTGACAGCTCTTTTACACAATTTGTGTATTCCTGCAAAGTATGGTATCACAAGGAAAAACAGAATGTCTTAAAGTAACTTAGGTAAACATACAAGAGAAACAACTGCTCCCAGGAACTGATTTTACCAACAACATCCTTTTGGAAGGACACCAGATTCTACCAAGATTCCACCAAGATTAAAGTGAAGTAAGGCACCATGATACACATTGATAACATGCAATTTTAAAGCCTTAGAGAACAAATTGCTAAGCTGTCATGTTACCATAATAAGATGAAATTAGAAGGGTATTTTAAATTTCTTAATTAGAAATTAATTCCAAGAGACAATCTGACCAAGGATTATGGTCAGACCTTTGACAGAGCCCTGTATTTAATCTCTTGAGTAAATTTCAAATGATGATTTATTGTCTGTCACACAAATTCTGTTAGCAAAGTGAATAAACTGCATTTTTTTTTTAAAACAACCCTCATCTATTATTCTCAACTCTCAAAAGTCTTTTTAATTTTAAAATCAAATATTTAGGAACGGCAAAATATTGCCTTTAAAAATGCATTTCAATGTACTAATAAGATAAGCTACTGATTAAACCAGTCCAGGTGTTCAGAACTGCCTAGACATCTCCATGGAGCATGGTTCTGTGCTGTATCATCATATTCTCTCTTTTGTCAGGCTCATTTTGTTTAACAATATTTCAATACTGTGCCAAAAAAAAAAAAAAAAAAAGCTTTTATGTTTCGCTTTATTTCATTCATTGCTGTTCTAATCCACACCAGAATTACAGTTTTTATCTGAAGATGTTATGTGGGAGGTGATGAAGGGCCCAATGAAGCTGCTTTATTCCCTTTCTTCCCACTTGTGGTAACAGGTCATGTTGGGGTTTAGCTGGAGGGAGAATCTGAGCAGCTTCACTTTAACAGGAAAATTACAGTGCCATAGCTGTGCTGATAGAACTCCCCCATGTGGATACTCTATTCTAAGGATAAAACATATTTTATTCTAGTGTAATTACTTTGCTTTTTAATTCTATCTGAGCAGATCCCTCCAAAGGGAAGCATATCAAGATATCCACAAAGCTTTGTTTCTTCCTGTGGTCCAGCTCTCTCAGGGGAAGATGAGATGCTGGGACATCACCCAAAGGAAGAGCATCATCTGCCACCTAGTCCAGCCAAAGGGCCCTCTCCAGGGAGGAAAAAGGGGTTTGAAAATGGGTACCATGAATAGTGGTACCCATTTTCAATAAGTCAATAGTCCTGGGTAGGTAGAAGACACAGACAGACCTGTCTGCACGTGTTTGCCCGTGCAGAATTTCTGGACTCCGAAACTATTTCTATAATTCCACTTTATGTGTCAAAAAAGACTTCATGCATCAAAAAATTACTAAAAGGTCTAATTAATAGAAATGAAAAGAAATAGGAATGTTTTATTACTTATTCAAGCCTTTCTTCTCTCTCTTAGAAAGACTGAAACTCTTCAGTGGTGATGCATATAAAAATCACTCTGATCTAGAAATAACATAAAAGGTTTGCTTCTGCTGCCATGATAAATAATAATAGTGTGGAAAATCCAGAACTGCCTGATCACACGCCATTCGCTGATCAAGGATACATTTTACATTATCAGCATGGAAAGTAATGCTCTTTGTTAATAGCAGAATATGTACCACAGCCTGAATACAAATAGTTATGCCCACAGCACCTGAACTTTCCAAATCACCAGGACAGAACTATTTTTAGCTATAAAGCTATTTTATACCATTTGATTTTTCTTAGGAGTGCAATTTTTTTAAAAAGAAAGTGCCTTGGTAACTCTTTTGCAGCTTTACACTTCAGTTACTAAAGTGTCACAGATTTTAGAGACCATCTGAACTTCCCCTTGAAAGGTATGAAAATACTCCTGGATGACTTCTAAACAATCAACTTAAGGGCAGACACAGCTTGTGTAAATCAGTATCACTCCACTTAAGCTGATGGAACTATGCCAGGATATCAACTTTCATCTGGCACAGTCTGTTTTTTGCTCCCAACAATTCTTTTATGGAGTTGGAGAACTAAAGGGTTTCAGAAGAGATTTTTCTGGGTGCTGTCTGACCTCTTTGAGCCCGACTGATGATTTAAAATAGAATTTTAGCTGATGAACCAAACACTGCATCGCATTTCCTCCCACAACAACAATCTGAAATAATGATCTATAGGTGCTTACTGTTGCCAGCACTTTTTAAATGTTTCCCCTGGTGCCTCAACAGTTGAAATCCCAGGAAGTTAAATTAGCTTGCAAATTTGACTGAATCAACACCTGCTCATCCAAAACATATTTTAACTACAGGAAGGAATTCTTCACTCTCATTTGGAGCAGCAGAAAAAAAAAATCCCACCCAAGAACACAGAAATCAGGGCCAATTTCAAGGCTCTGCTGGAATACAGAACTAAGCCATAGCAAATTGTTGCTGTTCCAGCCTGTTTTCTGTGGTTCCGGTTCACAAAGCAAAGCTCGGCTAGTAGTAAATTTAATATTTGCCACGTTTCTCCTGAAAAACAGGCAAACCCAGCCAAACATTTTCTCTCAGGCAATGTGATATAATTTGAGAAACAGAAATTAACATCACAGTATCATTAATAATTTCTGCTTCACTTTTGTTTTCTTACATGCCTTTTCATTCACACACACAATAGCATGTGTTTTCATTAATACACATAATGACATAAGGCTGAGGGAGACATTCTTGTGAAGAGCTGCTGCTGTGCCTCTCTAAACATGCTCAGCTGGGGTTGTTCCATGAGAATGGCAGCTGATAAGCCACAGAAGCATGGCTGGAATCAAGGAGGGAAGGAACAAGCACTGTCTCCTATGCACCAAAAAAAGTGCCACGGCAAATGGGATTGTGCTGGTTTTAATATCAATCTCTCCCTCATGAATACACAGCTTTAGCTGTAAACATTTAAAAAAAGAGATAAAAATAAAATTTCCAGCTAAAACACCCAGGAAACAGATGTTCTGTTTGGCAGGCAGCTCTGGCTGCCATTGTTTCAGAGGGCAGCTGCATTTGAAACACCTGAGTAAACTCCAGGGAAGAGACCACATATGCAAAAAATATAGGTACAAGAACCTTCAATGCATGGTGTATTCATTTGCCATGCATGAGTACCAAATGTGTTCTCATTCCTAACTTAGGAAACTGCATGGAATTCCTTAAATTACCCACGCTTAGGTTAGGGCAGAGGTTCCCTGAGATACCTGGCAATCATTCTGTCACTGTTGAGCCCCAGTACCACAGGTTCCAGGAGCCCTCACAGCCATCAACACATTCCTGACTGGATTCACCTTATCTTGAAAACAGTTCCTTGATTTTAAAGTGATTCACTGTTGTGAACACTGTTAATTGTCTTTATTAGTGCATCACCATCTCTCACCATCCAATAGAGAAGTCATCCTCCCTAGAAATGAATGAAGGAAAGAATGAAAGTCATATACCCACAGAGAAACAAACAAAAAAAATTTAAAAATTAAAAAAATAAAGAGAGGACAAAAAAAAAAAAAAGGATCTCAACTGAAGATAACCTTTAGTTATTGATAATAAATATCTCAATCATCTTCACGGAAGTTTCATCACGGGAGAGGCACATCCATAATCATGCTACACATATATTCTGTATCCTTATATATACACAATACATTCTGCATCAAATATACTCTCTATCCAAAAATGATGCAATATTTTTACTCAAAATTTTGCTGCTGCTTTAGTTTTGTGCCAGCTTTTTATGGAGCCCTGTACTAACTACTGTCAAGGGAACTCATTGTATTTTTTCCCCTGTAGAAGAGGGTGAGGATTACACTAAGACTTTAAGTAGAGGAGAGATAACAAAGAAAAAAGGCAATAAAGAAGAGACATAGGAAAAAAATAGAACATCTATAATCTTTTAGTTCTCAACCTTTTAAATAAGTCAAGTAGAGATGAATAGTAATTTAGTATTCTAGGACCAAAATGAAGTGAATTTTGGAGAGCTGCACCTTACAGATATAGGGCAGTCAGTTTTGGGAAAGCTTTTACAGTCCATGTCAAGTTTCTGAAACAATTTAATAGACAATAAGCAGAAGTTCAGCATTTCTGAGTTTCAGACTGTGTCATAGCAGCCAACATTGTGTGAGGTGCTGTGATGCTGGGGAAGCACAGTCACAGGGCTGGTATGAAATCTCACTGTGAAGGGAACAATAGTTAATAGCCTTGTGCTGATGATGCATTACATCAAGAATCACTAGCTCAACAGCAACTTCTGATCAAGCATCATAATAGTGGTAGAAATAAATGAGAGTGCCTCTGTTTTTCCAGGCAGGTCAGCATCCCACTGTCCCATCCCACTGCTAACTGCAGCTTTGCACAGGCACATCACAGACACTGAACTTCTCCATCATGAGTACCAGAAATAATGTTTAGCTGTTCTCAATGAAACATACTTTTTTTTTTTTTTTCTGGTTGAGGTCTTCAAAACACTTAAAACCCCCAAACAATCTATGGTTTCAGTCAAGACTGGAGAACAGGGCAAATGTCTTTTTAGTCAGAGGAATTGATCAGATGATCCTACAAAGGATTTTGTTGCCCACAAAAAGTCACCTGGCCAGGGATGCACACTAACTTGGGTGATTCAGGGAGAGCACTGCACCTGCCCAGGCTTCTTGGACAACAAAACTTTGCTGGGTTTACTGTGCCAGCACAACAGATTCAGAAATGATTGACTTTGCCTCTGTCTTTTGCCAGTTTTCAGTCCCATAGTGTAAGAACTTCCATTGAAACACATGAAATCTGAAAACTGTGGGAGACTAAAATGTGCAGCGTAGGGATGCCAAACAGTGCCAGGGTCTCCTAGATGTTCCTGGGATAATTGCAAGGGATGAGACTGGTATTAGACCCACAGTGCTTGAGACAAAAGGCAACTAAACCCCAAATAAAAGTTCCAGTCATGGAAGCTAAAGATAGAGTTAGAGAATAGTGACATGATGGAGTGACAACTGGCCCTGCAAAAAAGGGAAGAGAGTGTCAAAACTGACACAGGAGCTGTAAGCCTGAATGACAGGGAAGATGCTGAAGCTGCTGATGGACAAGCAACAGTGGATGTCAGGAAAATGAGGTGCACCTGTGGAAAAGAGCTAGATCTAAGCCAGGGTACAGAATGCAGCTCAAACAGAACATTTTCTACTCTGGAAGAGTAAGACAGTGTTAAGACCTAAGGTAGGAATTGCCTTCTCCAGGAACCAAGGGAGAGAGGAAGAGAGATAGAGGGAAAATTTTCATATCTATTGAGAGAAATTCTAATAGCAGAATTTATATTTTTCTGTCTTGAATTGTTAAATCTATTTTAGATAACCTCATTTAAAGAGGCGGTTTTGCCATGCACTGGATTCTTGTCAAAACTATTTCGGGACAGCCAGACACCAGGTACCCCATAGTGAAGTCCTATATAGAAATGTGCTTGATAAATCAGTGTGGTTTTTGTGAGGTTCCCCAGGATGAGGTGAGAGATGAGACTCTGACTCCATGTTTTCAGAAGGCCGATTTATTATTTTATGATTTTATTTTATATTAGACAATGCTATACTATAACTATCCTAAAGGAAGAGAAAGGATACAGACAGAAGGCTTAATAAGAATGAATAATAAAAACTCATTACTCCTCGGAGTCTGACACAGCTGATGGTCGTTGGTCATTAAGGAAAAACAATTAACATGAAACAATGTTGGCAAACAATGTCCAAACCACATTCCAAAGCAGTAAAACACAGGAGAAGCAAATCAGATAATTATTATTTACATTTTTCTCTGAGGCTTTGCAACTTCCCAGGAGAAGAAATCCTGGGGAGGGGATTTTTCAGAAAATATCACGGTGACCCATCACAACATATTAGCACTGAGAAACTGCATGGTGATACAGGTACACTGACCTTGGATATCTCAGCTGACCCTCCAGAGGCATGTAGAGTTAATTCTGAGTTTACTCCTGGGGGGTCTAAACCCTATTATGGTGGGCATCAGGAACAAAAAAGAGAGGTGCTTAATCTGCATCATAGTTTGAAAAGTGACTGAAACATAGATGGTAATAATGGAGTTCTAGCAGCAAAGGGCTCAGTGCCCATGTCTGTCCTTGTGAATACAAACCTTCATGATATAGAATTGTTCAGCTGTGGACAATGTTAGACAAACAATAGAAAAGGAATTGTTAGCTATATGTCTGCTTTTCTATATCCTTTCTGCTTTTCTCTCTTCCTTCTTCTAATTCCCACTTATTAGAGTTTTTGAGTAACTTAAAATCAAACAGTCTTAGAGTTCACTAAAATTGAATGGGCAAAGTTATTGCTTTAGAAGTGCTTTGTGTTGATTGAATATTTCAATAAACCTTTTGCCAAAGTTCTTTGATTTTCTAAAGTTGCCAGTAAAGTATTTGTGTTGTTTTGACCTCTTGGGAACATCCCTAACATCTCACTCAGAGTAGATGAGCAATTGCGAACTCCTTTCTAAAGCCTCATTGAGCAAGTTTGTTTGGGGCCTTAGGTTGTTCCAATATATTTATCTTTCAGTTGACAACAAATTCCTTCCTAACTTGTATTCATTGCACCCCTGACGTGTGTTTAGTTTTACTTTCTGCTTTGTTCTTTCTCAAGTGTTAAAAGGAAAAAGAAGAATACTCGAATTCTGATGGACAAACTGTGATATGCAAGTCTGAGATCTTAACTTCAAAGCCTGACTGCACAGAGGACAAATGCAGGAAAAGTGTTAAAGGAGTGACGGCAGTGGGTGTCAGATGAGGAAGGCTCATCAAAACCTACCTTAAAGTTCAGTGGGAAGTCTTTCCCTGCTATCACTAAACGACTGCTCCAGAATGTTGGACTGCCAGAAATCTCCTTTGAATCTCCACCCTGGAGATTCAAAGGAGATTTCACCTCCACCTCAAGGCTTTTAAGATCCAGTGTCCTTTTTCAGGTCTAACAGATTAAACACTAACAGTGCTCACTTAGCCCCAACAGTTGCTAACCTCCATGAGGCAGCTGGCTTTGCTGGTTAGTTTATCTTCCCCTTTCAGATATTACCCTAACCCTCTTTTAAGTTATTTTTTATCTTTTTCAGTCTGAGGTTCATCCTAATAGCTTTTTCTAAATGTGCTGGAAATGAGTATTTTCTGTTTGCTTTGCCCAACTGATTTCTAAAATTTCTTTTTTTTTTTTCCCTTTCTTTTTCATTAAAGCGAAGCAATAGATTCATCTCTTAACCTCCAGTTTAACTGAATTATTAATCAGGCCATCAAAGTTGTTTACAGTTCGTTGTGTTTTGCATTTTTAAAGACTGATTTTCTACAACATGCTCATTACTTTCTAAAACTTTACTGGTAAGGGAATCTATGCAGAAGTACATGTGCATCCCATCATTATTTACAGTATTTTTCTTCCCACCAACACCTGGAAATTACATAACTCTTGGGAGCATTTATCCTTGTAAACAACATAGAGACTTAACATATCTAAGCCTAATACTTGCCATATGGTGGCTGGAAAGGTGACACGAGGGTTTTTTATCTTTTTAAAAAAGAAGAGAGGAAGAAAAGAAAGTCAAGAACAAAGCAAGGACAATGACAGAACAGTTGCTGAGAAAAACAGGCAGAGGAATTGGGGAGAAAGTAAGAAAAAAAAAAGTGATAAAAGAACATGTTGAGTAAGATTTCTAGCTGGTGTCTGTTCCAGGGTTGGGATGAAGGGAGACTTTCTTGTAATTCTCTGTAGATCAGAGGCTGTTAAAATCAATGTACAGGGGAAGAGAAGACACCTCATATGGTACCATCCTTAGACAAAGGGTATAAATTCTATAAATTTATATTATAATTTTATATAATATATAATTATATAATATACGATTATATTATACTATACACTATATACTATATAATATATAATATATCATATATAATTATATTGTAATCTATTATAATTTATTTTATAAATATATATTCTACAAATTTTTGGCCCATTTTACAAGTGCACACTAAGGCACTGACTTTAAGGCAGTAGAAAAATTCAAGTTTACTCAGCTCTGTAGTACCAGCCCGGCAAGATGCCACTCCTGCAGGTCAGCAGAACACAGCTTTGCTATAGTGGCTGCTACTACATGTCCCATTTTCTCTTGGGGACACTTTCCCAGAGGGTTCAGGCACCAATTGCCACATGGAAAGCAAGGATTTTTAGGCAGTTTGTGATTACTAAATACAGGGAAACTTGGATTCTACCAGCCATGTGTGTCTAGACTGTCATGAGCTTTGGCTTTAGCCCATTGCATGCCTTAGTCTCAAACTAAGAGTGGAAGGTGAAGGTGAGAAAATAAAATGAGAGCAAATCTTATGTAGATCCATTTGAGGTTGCATAAGTAGGACAAAAGACAGAGTTCAATAGACAA